GTAACGATTCTGTGGCCCTAAGTAACGTTTCTGTGGCCCTAAGTAACGTTTCTGTGGCCCTAAGTAACGATTCTGTGGCCCTAGTAACGTTTCTGTGGCCCTAAGTAACGATTCTGTGGCCCTAAGTACACGTTTCTGTGGCCCTAAGTAACGTTTCCTGTTCTGTGGCCCTAAGTAACATTTGTTTCTGTGTCCCTAAATAACGTTTCTGTGGCCCTAAGTAACGTTTCTGTGTCCCTAACTCTCTCCCTCAATACAGCCAGGTCTGCGTCTCTTGAATGACTGGAGGCAAATGGAGAATTCTAAAATGGTCGCAATTTATAGCTCGACCATTACACAGTGCTGGCTGGCTGCTGATTGGCTAATGCGATCACATGTCATGAATGAATGCATTATGGGTCAGCGCGCCTTCGCCTTGTCTGCGCGCCTTCCCAGAGATCCCCGCTCCGTCGCCGCACATGTCGCCGCCATTTTTGGAAAAATTTCGATTCGCGATCCGAAGTCTGCTAATTTTTCGGATTCGTCGCGAATCGAAATTTTCCTGATATTCTAAACGAATTCCACTTCGCCAAGTTCGATTCGCTCATCTCTAGTTTCTATGTAGAGCTGCACCAGATTTTGCATGCTCCAGTTTTAGTTAATCCCCCTATATGTATATTAGTATATGTCTTCTATATGTTTTACATAGCAGTCACTTCTGTTTACACGTGAGATCCCACCCCCACATATCACAGGTCTAGATGTCAGTATGGTTATAAATTATATTCAGAAAAAGTCACAGAAAATTACCCATTGCTGTTTTAAGGGAGATAGGTGCACTAGGCTCGGATTGATCACTGACTCCATATTTGTTCACAGCTTGTACCCGGAAACTGTACGATTTCTCTTTATCAAGATCCAGCACCGAAAGCCTTGGAGATGACACTGGTCCTTCCTGGTTGATCCTCTCCCATGTGCTGCTTCCTTCAACAGACTAACAAATAGTGGCATAGATAGTAAACATCTAAATATATTTCAGAGGAAGGGGGAGATTAAAACTGGGGATACACTGTGAAATATTTGGCTGGTTCTAGATGAACAAGCCAAAATGTGCTATATGGGTGGCTCAGTTGACCCCGTCCTGTCCAACATCCTTTGATTGAAAAATTGAAGGAGTCGGGTAGAAAATTGTTGCTCGAACTGCATCCAATTCAGCCACTGTTTGGGACGTGTGACAGCAGAGAGATTTGTCTATTTATAATGTTAGTGTGGATGGAGGAATCTGTTAGATATTTTGTTTGTTTCTTAGATACACTATTCTGTTATATACTCTTAGATATTTTTTCCCTTTAAAAATATCTAAGAGAGAATAGCCACCTTTACTAAGGAGCAGAGAATGTTCACCTAGCAACGTTAACAATCACTCGGTTTAGTGAATAAAGAGAAGCTATGCCCACTGTAATGCCCAATCATGTGGACATTTTGTAAAATGAATCAAATTAATAAGTAATTTAGTAAATCAACCCCACTGAGTTTGCATGAGATAGATAGATAGATAGATAGATAGATAGATAGATAGATATAGGATAGTTCCCCCAAGAGCAGTCAGATCAATCCCATTGATTCTTTTAGTATTAGATTAGAAAATAATCAAGTCCTATTTTGAATTTAATATACCGATATTACTGCATAATGTGGTAATGCCAATAGATAAAAATGCAGACATAATGAAGAATATTATTTTTGCATTTACTCGATTTCTCTTATACAGTTATAATGTATTATGCTTACCAATATTGTGTTGTAGCTAATTAAAAATTAATTGGTTAATACCTTTTCTACATAATATTTTAGAGGCTCCTTGCCACGAGGATCTGGTTCATCCCAACAAATTACAACATAGTCCTCTGTGACCTCAGAAGCCTGAACATTTCTTGGGGGTGAGGGCACTTCGCTGACCTCTCCTGAATGAGAAGAGTGATAGAAGCTTTCAATGAGTGAGAACACACAGTACACGTATTGAAACAAGGACATGTTGGTACATTATTTATACAGATAAAGTTAGGAAAACACTGAAGAGGCTGCATTCAAGTAGTTGAAGACGGGAGTACACACCAAAGACAAAAAAAAAAGAGATGGTTATCATGACCCAAGCTATCTCTTGTACTTGACCTGTCTATCACATAATGCTCTTTCATACACATAAAAGATGTCATCTAGCATGCAGTACATACTGACCTTGCAAGTCATCTCTGTTCACAATAATTGTCCTTCCTTCATTATATGGTATTACTGAATATAAGAAAAGTTTTGTTAGAATAACATTTTTAAAAATACTTTATCATTGATGCAGCCATTCTGTTACTGGGCATATAACAATAAACAATGGCTGTTCTTTATAACAGATGCAGGGGCGGACTGACTATTTGAGCACTCGGGCACTGCCCGAGGGCCCAGGGTCAGTAGGGGGCCCCATGAGATGCCCCGGGTACCTTTTTAGGGTATGGGCGAGGACATGGGGGCCCCATGATCCCCTATTGCCTGGGGGCCCCATGAGTTGTCAGTCCGCCCCTGAACAGATGCACCTAGCTCAACAGAATGGAACAGATGAAAAGTCAATAGATCAAAAGAACACAGTCATTTAGCTACTCTCATAAGTAGGACTCAATTATTATTCCCTCGATGTTCCTGACTTCTCTAAGCTTCAGAAAGACTTCCGGCCAAAACATCTGTGACATCAATTTATTATTACAGTATTATTATTATACAGGATTTTTATAGTGTCAACAATTTATACAGTGCTTTACAACATAAGGGCAGACAGTACATCTACAATACAAATTAATACAGGAGCGTTCAGAGGGCGCTGCTCGTTAAATAAAAACACACTACTGTATATGTGATCTTGACACTGTTAGAAGGTTAATTTTTAGTGTACTGCATATGCATCAAAATCAGATGATTTATTGACCACACTCTACACTTAAAGTGGACTTTAAGTCTCTACACAAGTCTTCAAGAGTACATTACTGGAATGCCAAAGTATACAGCAACATTATAATTTTTTTTTAAAAAAGCTTTACCTTTTATTAATAAAAAAAGCAGGCCATGATCTCATATTAAGGTTTTACCTAGGCTGAAATTATATTATGTCATAAGTCTGCTGCAGGCAGGAGGAAGTATTTATTCAGTCTCCTTTTACTCCTTTTTTTACTCCTTTTAGTAATTTGACTGCAGCATTTATACTTTGTAGCACAAAGTGAAAGACTAAAAGCTGGGGGCTGACCTCTGTTGGGGATTTGAAACACAGCTAAGAATGGTACTGGCACCAGGATTTACATGATTGTGTAATCCAAGCATCTCAAGCTGGCCATACATGGCTCAAATTTCAGCCACTTCCTGTGTAATCAGCCAAATTTTGAACTATGGGTGGTCTTGTTGGCACTACCCAACTCCTCAAACTTTGATTTAAAAATTGAAGGAGACGGATGGAAATTTGTCAGCTGAACAGTGACTAAAACTCTCTAAATACAATAGCTGGCAGGAGAGATTCCTCAATTTTACACTGGTTAGCGTGGATGGAGGAATCTATTAGCTATCTCTTGTTCAGCCTATGGCCTAAATGAGAGTAATCTATGCTCCTATGGTTAGCATAAGTCCAGAACGTAGATGCTGATCTTCATAATGCCCGAACAAACAAAATGCCATACTTTTAAAGAAAGCAGATGATGACATTATGATAGGTTTGGGCATGATTTCTGTGAGAAGTAATGAATACCTGTACATTTACTCATTACGTAGCATTAATACATCTAATATGATAAATATATCATTCTATGTTTACTTTAAGTACTGCAAGGGTAGATTTTTTCCAATTCCTGGAAGTTAGGCTTTAACCACTTGTTGACCGCATTACAGCCGAATGAAGGCTACAGCATGGTCATCCAGTTCTGGGAGGGCATCATGTGACGTCCTCCCAGAACTATGCCCCTCTGCGATCGCTGTGTCCTTCGGATACAGCTGATCACATGTCATGGTAAAGGGCCAATCACAAGGCCCTTTACCACGTGATCAGCTGTGTCCAATCACAGCTGATCACGATGTAAACACACTTACTGGTTATCGGCAGCAATTTTTTCACGCAGTCACAGCGTGAGGAGAGTACTGCCTGATTATCAGTGCCCTGATTATCAGTGTAACCCCAACAGTGCCCATTAGTGCTGTCTATAATTGCAATCAGTGCCCATCAGTGCTGCCACTCAGTGCCCATCAGTGCTGCCCATCAATGCTGCCAGTCAGTGCAAACTAGTGCTGCCAATCAGTGCTGCCAGTCAGTGCCACTTATCAGTGCTCTTCAATGCTGCCTATTAGTGCCCTTCAATGTGCCTATTAGTGCCCATCAGTGCAGCCTCATCAGTGCCTCATCAATGCCCATTGGTGCCACCTAATCAGTTCAGCCCATCAGTGCTGCCTATCAGCGCCGCCTCATCAGTGACCATCAGTGGTGCCTATCAGTGCCCATCAGTGCAGCCTCATCAGCTCACATCAGCGAAGGAGACAAATTACCTGTTTGCAAAATTTGAAAACAGAAACTAAGAGAAACGTGTTTGTTTTTGAAACATTTTAGGTTTTTTTTTGTTTGTTTGGCAAAAAACATAAACCCCAGTGTAATGATTCAGGGTTGATCTTGGGATCTGGGCTGAAAGCCTTTTGTGGTTCTGTAATATACAGGCAGCATATATAATTGGCATTTGACTATTAAGCTGAAAATAGAGATGCAATGGCCATTGGGTTTTTAGTTCTTAAATGTAAACTCACAATGCATGATGTAATATTCACTCCTCAGCATTAGAAAACTATTGTTTATTTTTATTATTGTTCACACATGTAAATGAAAGTTTATATTATACAGAGGATTTAATGTGGGTACAGAACAAACCTATTGATCTTGCTTCCTGCAGCGAATCTCTTGTAGCCACAGGGTCACTCGGTTTTGATGGATGGCTGACACCAACCTGGTTGAGTGCGCTTACTCTGAACTGATATGTATGCCCAGGAATAAGACCAGATACAGGATATCGGCAGATCTTTGCTGGGATTTTATTACACCTCATCCACTGTTTTGTTGAGGTATCAAAGCTTGAGGAAAGCAAAAAGCATTTTTGCGGTGTGAAAAATTACTAAACATTGTAAAGATTTTTATCTCTATACTTTTTTTGTATTTTCATTAAATTGTATATAGTATGGTTGTACCAAGTAAAATTCAAAATATATCTAAAACCACAGCCATTTAGAGCAGGGAATAACTGAAATCCATGTGTTTTTTTGCCATCTATGTCCCATAGGAGAGATTTGCCTTCTCTTTCTATCCTGTAGATGCAACAGGTAGTTAAATGAAATCTTTCCAAAGTGAGTGAAAACCCCTTTCAGATAGTTGACTTCGAAACACCATTGGAAGGTTACCCCTTTGCCTTTATTTTCCTCTGGTGATCCTGCCAGTAACACACATCGGGGAAGATTTTACTAAAACTGGAGAGTGAAAACAGGAAGTTAGAAGCTGATTGGCTACCATGCACAGCTTCTGAGTGCACCAGTTTTAGTAAATCTCCACCTTCCTGTCCTAGAATACCAATAGTTACTCACTGTACTGTATTTATAGAAAAAACAACCTTGTTACCCTGGGACAGGACTACAGAACACCCTTCCCCTCACTGTTCACCACCATTAAATAGGGCAGGTGTACTGTAGTCTTCAGATTGAATTGGGAACAGACTAATTAATAAAAGTGTAGAACAGGTAAAGAGCAAAGTATATTATCAGCTCACAAGATTTCTGACAGGATCAACAGGATATTCTTTGGACTCATCAGACAGATATAAATAAAACACTTTCAATAATATATTTAGCAGACTAAAAAAGAGCAAGTAACAGAAGTCCATTGTTAGGTTTACATATAGTTCAAGGCAAATAATTAGAAACAAGAAAATATCCAATCTTTTCAAAAAGAGTTACCACATTATGTGTGAATTACCTAAGATAAGGTGTCAAGCAGTTACATAACTTATATAAGTAAGATTTCTGGTGATTTTGTTTTGAATTACAAGCATACTATGGGGGAGATTTACTAAAATTGGAGCACTCAGAATGCGGTGCAGCTGTGCATGGTAGCCAATCAGCTTCTAACGTCAGCTTGTTCAATTAAGCTTTGGCAACAAAACCTGGAAGCTGATTGGTTTCTAAGTAGAAGTGAGCCTGATTTTGCACGCTCCAGTTTTTGTAAATAGACCCCACTGTATGTACTGTGAAAATATTTATTTAAAAAATTCTCAGTAAACAGCCTAGATGTTGGATTGTTTCTTATACTGAATAGAGGGGAATAAATGATCAGAAATGAGCCAGGAGCTGGCAGTCTGTACTTCTCAATGTGCAAAATGATTGCCTTCTAAGGCCTCATTCACATGGGTGTACAATATCGTACGCTAGTGCAATGGCCATGTTTGCCCGCATGGGGATGCACAGGTGCTCCATGCATTCCCATACAGGTATTACCGTTCATTTCAATTGGTACATAGTGGTTTCATGGACACAACTGGACCTCCCAATTTGACAGTTGTGTGGTGAGCATTCATGACATTTCGATTTCTTTGTTTTTGAGATGATAAAAGTATTTTTAAGGGCCCTGGCCAGAAATTCTGGTGCCTCTCTTTTCCAGAGTTATATAGTTATGTATGATGGGCTTTTGTTGTCCCTTGCTGATCAAGAATGAGTGAGTGTAGTCATGATAATGGCAGAAAGATTGTTCCCATATCTACTTACCTCTCAATGTAGTAACCGCACACAGGACTGCCTCTATCATCACTTGGAGGAATCCAAGATAACATTAGACAATCCATTTGTATATCATTGCACTGCACACAGAGTGGTGATCCTGGCAGACCGGCATTCTCTGGCTCAGCATCTATTTCATAATACAAATATATAATAATGCCATGATCAGTTGATAAAGCCTATATTAAACTAGGTTTTCTTTTCTTTTTTTCTTTGACTTTCTTTTCATTACCCTAGAAACATATGTCTACTTGTAAACTTAACAAACTAAAATTATATCATTTTAGTCATATTAATCTAAATAAATGACAGTAGGAAACTCAAAGCTCCTTACGATTATTTTACTGTTCCCTTATTTATAATCCAATCAGATATGTATATCACTTCAACAAGTGAGACAAAAAGACAACGCTATCTGAGTTAACAATGGAGTTGCTGGCTTCCTTGCTTGAAGGTGGTTCCCCATGCTTGGACAGTTTGATAAGATAGCTAGGCATAGCCCTTGGTCCATTGGGATCTGTAACATCTTTACACACCTTACAGTTTGATAAAATAGTTGGGCATAACCCTTGGTCCACTGGAATCTGTGACATCTTTACCATAGAACGAGGAATATTTTAGTTCACTGTGTTCTTTGGCCTTGCACCATATACGAGGGATATGGAGGGTGATTTGGTGTTCCGTCTTTGCCGTCAATATCATGAGATGGATATTTGCCCACCCTTGCCCTTCTATTGCTTACATCATTGAGTTTTGGACTATGCAGTCAAACTTGGATGTCAGTATTTTATGATCGCTCTGATTAATATTGATTGTTTAATTCCCTTGTAAGTATCAAAATGGAACTTATATGATTGTTATTGGTGTATTTTTTATATGTAAACTATTACTGATTTCAAATATGTTTATTTAAAAATACTTTTTATATTTATGCCCCCTGAAGAAGATCAAAATGTGGAATGATCAAAATGCGTCTGGATAATTTGAATGTTGTTTTGTTGTAAATGTGAGGGAATATATCCCTGCAATAGTTATCAGAGCTAGTGTTTTTAAAGATAATGTACTTTTTCTAACACTTTTGTATAATAAAGTATATGACTAAAAGAGCTCCTTTTGAATATATATGTGATATGTTTCCTGCATTAAAGCCCCATAGGGGGATATATTTGTCTATGCTTATACCAGTATAGCTTACTTTGTTTTTAACCACTTCAGCACTTGCACCTGTATGCCTCTTAGGTTCAATTGACAGAGATACTGAGGCCTGAATGGTCTGTCTATGCGGCTTGATCCACTGAGTGTTTCGTGCAGGCAGCCCGTGTACGTGTATGGGGATGCAGCAGCAGCATGGACACAGCTGTTTGTCCTAATATGACAGGCATGCAGGTTTCAGGATCCCTCACCCACACCCGCATACCTGTCAGATAAGTACAAGCATCTGTATCCGTGCTGTGTACCCAAGTACTGGCTGCATTTAGAGTGTATGTCCTATATTCAAGGTCCTCAGGTGGTTAATCACTTTAATTTGGGCTTAAATTCATCATTTAATGAAAGAATTACAGTATGCATGCATTAATTTCATTAGCATACCATTATTCATTAAAGGTTTTTGTTGTATGTGTCTGTGGACTTTGCCACATTTTTATAGTACTATCAATTTTGTTCTATTATTAGTGTTTAGTGTATTTTAGACAGCAAAGTCAGTCCACAAAGATGATTGCATAAATCCATGATAAGTTTTAAAATATCTCAGGTTTCTGGCTTATGTTACCGGTGAGTTTTGAGCATTTATTGAAAGCAGAAAAAGATACTTATTTCATGTTGAAATATAAAATTCAATTTCTTATGACACATATATTGATACAAATGAATCATTCTAAAAGATTCTGTGAAAGAGTCAAAGGCCAGGCTGATGTTGCAAACAGCCATAGATTTTTCTTTTCACAAGGGCTGGTTCACATTACATGTGTTCCAGTGCATTTTTTTTCTGCATGCAAAATGCAGAGAAAGTAGGTTACATGGTTGTCAATTGCATGGTTTGTACCAGTGCTTGCAGTTCCAGTGCATTCTGGTTCCAGCAATAAAAGTAGAACATGCTGCATTTTCCTACACAGAACTGTACTGGAACATGGTAAAATGCATCAAAAATACACAGGAACACAGCAAAAAGGAATAAAAAATGCACTGGACCCCAAATACCCCACAAAAGGAGGGAAAAAAGCATCTGGAACATATCGAGAATGCACTGGAATGCGTATAAAATGCATCAAAAATGTGTAAAAAATGCCCATGCAAAAACGTGTGAAACAGCTCTAAAGCAATGCTTAACAATTAAAGAAAGTATAGACAAAGCTTTTTTTCGCTGTACTTCTATTGATCACAGGAGTGAGGTTCGTTCTGCACTCCTGTGACCTGATTTCAGCCGACAGCAGGCTAAAGCCTGCTGGCTGATGTCACAGAGCTGGTCCAGGCCACGGAAAGATACCGACCATATAGTCGGGATCCACCTAGAAGCCTGGATCAGCAGCTGACTCAGCCTCTCAATTGTGCCCCTGGGAGACTGAGCCAAATGCTCCCTCTCTTCCACAGCCCAGCGTTCCAGTGAGCACTGGTGGGGCAGAGCAGAGAGACTGTGCCTGACAATAACAGCTCTCTGTTCAGAGTGGAGGGGGGGGAAATGAGCAATCAGCAGGGTTTGATCGCTCAGTTCTCAGTGCAGAGCTGGTGGGGGACAAATGCAGCTTTCAATTGTTGTTGCATCCACCTGGGTGAGCATAATGTGTATAATAATATATATACCGTAAGTGGATTTTATACACAATATAGGTTTTTAGAAACCCTAATAGAAACATTACAATAGAAACATTACAACATTGTATAAAAAAAAAAACTATAGTGGTGAAAAAAAAAAAAATGGAATATTTTTAATGAAATAACAGAGTCTAAATCTCCAAAATCTTTACTGTATGCTTTGTTTGCACATTGCATGTGGTAAGTTTTATCTGTACTAGGATTGATCTTCCTCTGAGAGAAGAGATAAGAGAATTTCATATTGGGTTCATAAACCTCTGGGTAAAGAGGTTAAAGAGTAATACGGCGTTACAACTAGACTCGTGTTCTAGCACACTAGTTTCAACAGGACATCATGGAATTTTTTTTTACCATTGTTGCAGTCACACAACTGCATGTGGTAATAAATACACAGAGATAATATTCAGCATATTTTTTTTACTTTTATTTACAATTTTCTCCCCAAATTTCTCAATATGAAAAAACCCAGCAAAAGTGACAGGGGTGCTTACAACGTTTGCTTTTTATTCCTATTGTTTAAATCTTTTTATTCTAATTGTTTCTTCAACTGCTCAAGCTCCCCTGATCGTGTTATAGCTTGACCTAACTCAAGACACTGTGACTTTTGCTGGACAGCCTAACCTGCATGTAAGTGTGGAGAAAATAAAATTAACAGGATCAGGGGCGGACTGACAACTCATGGGGCCCCGGACAATAGGGGATCATGGGGCCCCTGTGTCCTTGCCCAAACTCAAAAAAGCCTATGAAAAAGGTACCAGGGGCATCTCATGGGGTCCCCTACTGACCCTTGGGCAGTGCCCGAGTTTCCAAATGGTCAGTCTGCCCCTGAACAGCATGTAAAATAAAAAAAAAAAAACTGAATTCTTATACAGATTTTTGTCATCAGATGTATTAAACACACACCAGAATAGAAAATATGCAGTATACATTCGTTATCCTTGAAAGTGCCCCGATCTACAGGCTTTAAAAAGCAGCACAAAAAGCAATAACATTGCATGGTAACAGTAGCAATGTACTTTCTGGAGCCTTTACTACTTGTACAGTAACTTCTCTTCTTCTGCATCTTATATCACCAATCATATTCAAACTTCAAAAAACAGGTCTGAATGTGATTGGCAGCTGTAAGAAATTTAAACCTGCCAAAAAGTATAAGTAACCCCCATACCTGAAACTTCCCCTATATAGTAGATACATTGTTTTTTTTTGCAGTGTTGGTTATGTCACAGGTACCCCTTCCTTGGCAGTGGCAGTATGAATTTTCTCATACTGGACTGAATGTTGCTCATGTCTAGGAATACTGTGAGCTCCACGGGGCATGCCAATGGCAGCCTATGCTCACAGGAGGTGGGTTGGATAACGTTGGATGTTGGCAATTATCTTTGCAATTATCATGGTTTTTAATTCAGTTTTTTTTTAAAACAGAGTTAGCTGCCAGGTGGTTAAGTCACCCACCAGCTTCTAAAATGTACCTCTTCTGTGTAGAGCAGTGGTCCCTACTCTTCCGGCCATGGCCTCCCTCCGCCGAGCCATGGCTTTCTGTTACACTGCTGTCATACCCAGGCTCAGACTAACTCAGCTTAGCTGAGACATGCTCTTTGTGTATGGCTGTATAGAAGGAGCTGCAGTAATCAGATATTCTCTGTACATAATTGACATGCAGGGCAGTGAAGTTCAATCTTGCAGCAATTGTGTGTGTCAGTCGCCTCTCCATACTCTCCATAAGGATCACTGCTGCGCTTTATAGTATGAGCCACAGGTGGTGTCTGCCATCCTTAGAGGCTTTCATGTTAGGAGGTTGACTGTTCCCTCTCAGATCTTATATTTGTCATCACCTGGCCAAAATTTCATGTAGATATAGATGAATAATCCCAAATTTTAAAACACTTAGCAATGCTTGTCATCATATTTTGTCGTTGCCTTAAAATGAACCTGTGCTGTGTCCATGCAGAAGTAAAGAGGAAAAAACCCACTGTAAGCTCTCAGCTCATTTAGTCAGAACTTACCTGTGCAAGGATTCATGCAAAGAGGTGTTGTTTGAGGTTTGTTTAACCATTTGCTGCCAGGCCCTGCGCTCCACTTTTATACTCAAGTGGCCAGACCATTTTTGCAATTTTTCCATTGCTTTTGATTTTTCCCTTACAGCTTTCAGAGTTTGTAAAAGACCCCCCTAAACCATATAGTTTCTGAAAGCACATGACCAGTAGAATAAAAAGAAGGTACTACTGATTTTTAAGGCCCCGCGATATTTGCACAGATGTTTATCAAAGCAATATTTTTGCTAAAAATACACTAAAATCATCAG